TATTTGCATGGAAAATTTCAAATGCCCACCGACACCCCCAAAGAAAAGTACAACATAACAATATTGGCTAAGTCTTCCATACAAAATAAGCTAATAGCTTAATTTTCTCGTCAAATAAAACACGCCTATTATATACTTGGATGTGAAATAACACATTTAAAGTTTTTTAAGCATATTTGCGTTCCAGTGCAACGAACATACTTGTTTTAAGCCATCTTAAAGCTTAAACAGACGGCAGCGTTGATCCGGATTAACTCGGACTTAGTCCGGATCAACTGCAGTTAATTCCCGAGTTGATCCGGATCAATGCTGCCGTCTGTTTATGCTTTTACAAATGCTTTTATCAAGATAGCAAATCCCCACACACAAATATTGCCTCTGATAAAATTTATACATATGAGTCATTCTTTTTTAAGTCGGACGGATTTCGTAAAAAAAATTTGTCGTGTCTCCGATTCGCTTAAAAACGTGGTTAAAAAATGGGCGTTTTTCAAGAACTATTTTTAAAATATTTTTCTTTATGACGAGATGGTTTATTTTGTGAGAATCAAAAATTTTTTGTAATTTTTTATACCAAAAGCCAGAATACCATGCGTACATGGAAAGCATATATTTCACAATGTCAATTACATGAATGCACAGCTAAGTCTCGTAAAAAACTTCAAACTTGATTTCCCAAGATTTTAATTTTTATACATTCATGTTTCTGGCATGCGGGGAACGATATGTACTTGCCGATTTGTTTTACAAAAATTATTTAAAAAGCAGACGTCTCGGTTTCGATGTATGCTTTAGATGCAAAAACTTAAAGGTAAATTTTATAAGAAATTAAACTGGCAAATTTATTAAAACTAGAAGTAACCCTCGAAATTCAGGTGAATGCAGTAAATAAATGCTTACTAAAATTAAGAAATAAAAGCGTATAATAAAAGGTGATATTCGTAAATATACTTCAGTATTTAGTTGAAGATTTATTTAAAGAACTTCGTGAAAGACAACAATTAATCTTGTACTACTAGAGGCTTGATAACTCAGAAAATTGGCGCCGTTTATGGTGAAAGGCATTTAGTATCACACTTTTAATCTAAAGCTTTCTTAACCCTTTCGGTATAAAATTTCAACCACTGATTCTAAAAATTTTAAAATATGTATACCGGCTAATTTTGTATCGTTCATCACAAAATCACATCAACAACTATGTAGAACTTTGGGCTTTGCCGTCATTTAGTATCCTTTACAATGGTCAGTGATATCCTAGGTGTTTAAAAAAGAAAGTGATGTCAACTATTTTTATTTTTGGCTTTCATGAAATATATTTCAAAACTATGAATAACAAAAACAAAAACAAAAACAATTCAGAACACACGAAAGAATCTATATACTCAAGAAACTATGGGTCAAATATATTAAAACTACGTTTTTAGTTTTTCACTCTGACGTCAGGAATTTTTTTCAAAGGTCTTTGAAATTTAAAAAATATGATTAATTCAAAAAATTATTTAAAAAATCAGTGCAATGTAGAATAACAATATGGGTACCAAATGGATGCTTTATGTAAAATTTTTTGGCTAACAAGAATGAATAGGTATTGAAAATGCGCTTTTAATAAATTTTATCTTTTGAAGTCAATAGAGTTTGCAGGACGAAATCCGATGATTCGTCCTTATGTACCAAAAAATTTATTCAGTTATAGCTCTACAGAATTTTTTCTTATATTTGATACCCTTATCTTTATACTACATTGCACTGAATTTTTTTAAAAGTTTTGAAATATTCATATTTTTTAATTCCAAAGTCCTTTTAAAAAATCCTGACGTCAGAGAAAAAAAACTAAGTGCGTGACTCAAACAAATGACCACGTGTTGATTTTTTTTTTAATATTCGTAATGTTTTTCGAGCTAATTTTTTTTGTTATTTTTCTATAAAAAATACTGTTCAAGCTTTAACCACATAAATCACAGCTACAAACTTTATACAAAATTTAGGAAAATTCCACAAATTTTCATCAAAATTTCAACTTTTTAGCTGATTCTTTAGACAACTTTTGGGTATGAAATTTTAGTCTAATGAAGTGAAAGTTTCAAACGGCTAGAAAATCCCCTTGATTTCTGAGAATATTTTTTTGGTGACGGATTTTCTTCTTCTTCTTCTCCTTTATTGGCGCTGTAACCGCCTAAGCAAGTTTGGCCGAGTCCACAACAGCACGCCAGTCATTTCTCTTCTGTGCTAACTGACGCCAATTGGAAATGCCAAGTCCTTCTCCACCTGGTCTTTCCAACGCAGAGGAGGCCTTCCTCTTCCTCTGTTACCAGCATTGCGGCCCGCGTTGAATATTTTCAGAGCAGGAGCGTTTCTGTCCATTCGAACGACATGGCCAAGCCAGCGGAGCCGCTGAATTTTAATTCGCTGCACTAGTGTGATGACAGGAGATACTTCGTTTTGTCCTCGTTCACCACCAGACCCATTCGCTTTGCTTCTCTATCCAATCCCGAGAAGGCAGAACAGACGTAGCCCTTGTTTTTACCGATAATATCGGCATACGCCAGTAATTGTACGCTCTTGTAAAGTATTGTGCCTGAGCGGTTCAGTTCTGCGGCTCTTATTATCTTCTCCAACATCAGATTAAAGAAATCACATGAAAGGGAGTCCCCTTGTCTGAAACCTCGTTTGGTATCAAACGGCTCGGAGAGGTCCTTTCCTATTCTGACGGAGCTGGTGGCATTGCTCAACGTCATTTTACACAGCCGTATTAATTTCGCGGGGATACCAAATTAGACATCGCGGCATAAAGGCAACTTCTCTTCGTGCTGTCGAAAGCGGCTTTGAAATCGACAAATAGATGGTGTGTGCGAATCCTATTCTCGCGGGTCTTTTCCAAGATTTGGCGTATTGTGAATACCTGATCTATGGTGGATTTTCCAGGCCTAAAGCCACACTGATAAGGTCCAATCAGCTCGTTGACGGTGGGCTTCAGTCTTTCGCACAATACGCTCGATAAGACCTTGTAACCTATGCTTAGAAGGCTGATTCCGCGGTAGTTGGCGCGTATGGCGGGGTCGCCTTTCTTGTGGATTGGGCAGAGCACACTTAAGTGCATGCTCGTCGGGCATGCGTTCATCTGACCATATTCTGCATACGAGCTGATGCATGCACCTCATCAGCTCCTCGCCGCCGTACTTGAATAGCTCGGCTTGCTGGCCGTCAGCTCCAGCAGCTTTGTTGTTTTTCAGCCGCGTAATCGCTATTCGTACCTCGTCATAGTCAGGCGGTGGGACAGCTAGTCCATCATCATCGAATGGGGACTCGGGTTCGTCTTCTTCTCTACTTTCAGCGCTGCTACCATTCAGTAGGTTATAAAAGTGTTCCGTCCACAATTTAAGTATATTCTGGACATCGGTCACTAGGTCGCCATTGTTGTTCTTACAGGAGTTCGCCCCGGTCTTGAAACCTTCCGTAAGTCGCCTAACCCTCTGGCAGAATTTTCGGGCGTTCTTCCTGTCGGCCAGCATCTCAAGCTCTTCGCACTCATGTATTTCGGCCTCTCTCTTCTTATTGCGGCAAATACGTCTCGCTTCCTTCTTCAGTTCCCTATAACGGTCCCACATGGCTCGCGTTGCGCCCGATCGCAGCGTGGCCCTGTAGGCGGCATCTTTTTTCTCTGCGGCTTCTTGCCATTCCTCATCGTACCAGTTGTTCTTTCGGGCTCGCTGAAATCCAACTACTTCTTCGGCGGCGGTACTTAATGATCGGGAAATGTGGTTCCACTGCTCGCGTATGTCGGATTGTTGAAGAGCGCTCTCAGAGAGCAGGTGTGTGAGTCAAGTGGCGAATAAATTGGCCGTCTGTTGTGATTGCAGCTTTTCGACGTTAAGCTTTCCTTGCATTGTTGGGCGCACGTTTTTTGCTGCACAGAGGCGGGTGCGTATCTTGGCTACAACAAGATAGTGGTCCGAGTCGATGTTTGGGCCTCGGAGTGTACGTACGTCCAAAACGCTTGAAGCATGCCTTCCGTCTATCACAACATGACCGATTTGGTTTCTCGTTTTTCGATCTGGAGACAGCCATGTAGCTTGGTGGATGTTCTTATGCTGGAACCTAGTACTACATATTACCATATTTCGGGCCCCGGCGAAGTCGATCAGCCTCAGTCCGTTATCGGAGGTTTCGTCGTGGAGGCTGAATTTTCCGACAGTGGCGCCAAAGATCCCTTCCTTACCCACCTTGGCATTAAAATCGCCAAGCACGATTTTGACATCGTGTCGGGGGAAGCGCTCATATGTACGTTCCAAGCACTCATAGAAGAGATCCTTGGACGCCTCATCCTTCTCTTCCGTCGGGGCATGGGCGCAGATGAGCGAGATCTTGGATAATCTAGCTTTGATGCGGATTGTGGCTAGACGTTCGTCCACCGGGGTGAACGCCAGTACTCGGCGA